ATGCATTAGAATAATGCATTAGCTACTTCATTGGAGCGATAATCGATAGATCTACATATTATATACTAGATACTCGATAACAAAATACGGGTTTAATGAAGAAAATTGTAATTGAAAAATGTATTAGCCAGCTCATTGACAGTATGGTCTCACAATGAGATATTTATTTTTATATAATTTCGCTGGTTTTTTTAACTGAAAAAATATTAGAAAATTAGGAAAAATAATATGTTTTGCGGTGGCAAGGTTCTTGCGCTGTAAATTTAATTAAAAATTTTTTTTTTGGTAATAATTAAAAAAATTTTAAGCATCGTAGGTTAAAAACATAAATTTAAAGGATTCTGCATTTATTTATGCAAGAATACTTCGACGAGGAATTCAGAAATTCATAGTAATACGCCTCGAATGGCGGCCGTTTTTTTTGTTTACCTTTTACGGTCGGTGTGACCGTAGTCGTATTACCAAAATAATCCAAGCAAAATTCAAGCCAAATTACACAAAATTACACATATAGTGGTCTCTTTCAAGGTTCTAATGAAGTAGCTAATTAATGAAAACTGCATTAGTGTATCATATGGGCATAAGCAGGTTCCTAGTAAAATGCTTATTGGTGTAGAGCAGAAAGGCTGTATTATTTATGAGTTTAGGGAGAATTTAGAAGAAATAAACGACACAGCCAAAGTAAAAAGTTTAGGGGAAATTCAAAAATTCGCAAAGAAAAACCAAAATCGAGCACGGACGTATAACGAAATATATTATGATAAAACAGAGAAAATCCAAAGTTATGCCAAAGAAAATTACTTAATGGTCAAAATTTTTGACAGCATTGCGGGAATTGCTAGGAAGTTGATCCCAAAGAACAAAAGCCCATACGTGATTGTTAAAACACTTCGTATTTTTCATGAGCGTTCAATATTTCCGGTGTGGTTTCGAACAGCAAATTTGTATTTCTATGTTCGACGACGTTGCAAATTTCGCATTCGTTGATAATGTTCTGAATGAGCTTCTGACTGTCCGGATAATAATATTCTTCTTTAAACCAGTTGATAGTTTTTTCTATTCTGGGGTGTAGAAATTCCTTATGCTTCTTGAGGATCAAGTCCTTAAATTCAGCATAAGTTGAAACATCAATAAATTTCCTAGTACATCTCAACAATTTGGTTAAACTGTTGGGGCTTATAATTTCAGTATATATTCCCTTTGAAATACTAAGAAATCCTCGTCATTAGGGAATAATATGGCGCTTTTCTTTGTGCACACGTATTCTTTAATGAGGGATTTAGTTAATTCGTTAGTCATTTCTTTGTAGGTTATCTTAATTTTAAGTTTCTGAAAGAAATGAGTAACTTCTGCGTTGTCGTTATCACCCTTTTCTATCTCGATTTGTCGAGAGTAGAAATTCAATGGCCTCTCAGAGATGGATATGTAGTTCAAATTATCTTCTCCTGCACCATGGATAGTGGCATCATTGCTGTTTGCAATTTCACCGAGCATTACTTCCTCAATTTGTTCTGGAGAGGGCGTCTTGCTATATAGTTCTCTTTTCCAGGGAGATATTTTATTTTGTAATCAAATTCATTTAGTTTGATCTTCCATCTTTGGAGCTTCATATTTGGTTCTTTGATGTTATTGAGCCATACCAGTGGTTTGTGGTCATTATGTATTTCAAATGGCCTGCCAAATAGGTATACTTCGTTGCCCAAACTATTGCGAGCAGTTCTTTTTCGATCGTAGCATAGTTTATTTCGTGCTCATTTAGAGTTCTACTGGCATAACATAAGGCTTGTGATCTTGAGATAATACGGCACCTATTATAATCGGTTCTGAAGTTATCAATACCTTTAGCCTTTCAAATGATTCAATGTATTCTTTGCTCTTGGTGTCGATTACCGCTCCTTTCTTCAACTTCATTGTCATTGGTTTGACAATTTTTGCGAAGTTGGGGATGAATTTTCTATAAAAGCTGTAAAGTCCTAAGAATGATTTTATTTGCTTAGGTGTCTTGGGCAATAGAAAATTTATGATAGCATTGGTCTTATTTGGGTTACTGTCTCCTTCTCATAATCGATTTTAGCTTTAGTATCTTCGAGATACGGGCGACCTAACAGGAAATCATAACTTTCGGAAAAATTATGCACATAAAATTTCTGTACGGACGGACACACTACACTGGGTTTTAACTTAATACTTTTTACCAATTTTATTGGCCCCTTTATAGTGTATACCGTGAGTTTTTCTGTTTCCTCCTTTACATTTGCAAAATTTTCCTTTATGATGTTGATGGAAGAACCTGTGTCAACCATGCCCTTATAAAACTTGTCTTCGTACGTTATTTTTATAAACTTACCGACCCTTGCTCTTCTGATTCCTGTGTCTCCGAGGCTGCTTGATGAAAATTTACATCCATGCGGCTATGTCCGCTTAAACTTTCTCTTTGCCTTTTGACACCTCCGCCACTACTCGCGTTGTTGGAAGTTGAGGGTTGGTAATTGAGGGGATTATTTTGCCTAGCCTGAGTTAAACCATCTCTAACTGTATTGTAGTTTCCTCTCTGATTTGGTGGAATGGGACGAGAAGTGTTTTGGTTCTGGTTACTCTGGTTAGTATTTTGTGTTGAAGAATTTTGATTAGTAGAATTGTAGTAATTAATTAAATTTAATTTTAATTTATTTATTATATTATCCTAGCGCAGCAAGTTTACACTTATAATTGTAGCGTATATACTTAATTTTAACACATATGAACTTATATCTATAACGTATTACTACATGTCTTCTAGTTAATAATTGTTTTATTCTTACATTACATTTTACTTTAAATATTCTTTTATTTGAGATTTAAACTGAGTTGCGGCCCTAATTGTCTTATATCTATGTGGCAGATTGTTCCACAGACGGATAGCATTAGTAAAGAATTGCCTATTTGAGCACAGCGAATTATATCTTGGGCATATATAATTATTCGTTCTAGTTGAGGTAGCAGATTTGAGTTTGTCAAACAAGTATGTTGGTTCTTGGGTTCTTGCTTAACCCTCCCTATTCCTACTTTACTTAATTCTCGCCAAGTTTGTTTACCAGTAAGTTGATTGTTAAATTTGGACTTGAAGTGTTCACATTTAGCAGCCCTAATATTTTTGGTAACAAGAGATCTTGCTTCCTTGTACTGCATACAAAAATTATGGGTTTTGTATCGCTTCCACCTAAAATAGGCGACATCCCTCTGATTTATAAGTTTTTTTATTTCGTTGTTAAACCAAGGATTTTGCCTCGGTTTAGACACCCTAGTCTTGACTGGTACGCATTTATTAAAAATATAGCCTAAATTATTGTTTAGAACATTCAATTGAGACTCTACAGTAGAACATTGATATATGGGACACCAATCACATGCATTATATTGGAGCTTAAGGTCTGTATAATTAATATTCTTAAAGTCTCTATAGCTAAAAGATTCTTCAGTATCGTCCAAAGTTATATCACAGGTTATAAAAATTAGGTCATGTCTGTAGAAAACTGGTACGGAGACCTGGTCATATAGTAATATCTTTCTAGGGTCATTAATGAAAAAAAGGTCAAGAAGAGTATCACAGTTGTTGCTAAAATGTGTAGGTGTAATTTTATTGGCAGCATACAGCCCCAACGCCTCAAAGCTATCTAATAAGTGACATTCGCTTAGAATATTACTAATAAAGTCTCCAGCTAGGATGACGTCATCATATGAAGCTGATAATTCGCTAATAGTTTCCATAAGGGGATCAAAGTCTATTGTGCGATTTGGACGATATATACAACCAATTAGCACTTTGTTGTAGAGAAATTTGTTGGCTACTTCTAAAAAAATATATTCAATTTTGCTGTCAATTGGTTGCCTACATTTGACCCTACAGTTAAAGGTACGTTTAACATATATAGCTACACCACCAGCATGACCAACACGATCTGAACGAAACAAAACATAACCCTCACAATCAATCAAAATATGAGACAAATCAGACGTAAACCAGGACTCAGATACACAGAACTCGTCAACTTTTTTAAATAGGCTCTGTGCATTTATATGAACAACTTGTATACCCCTTTTATAATTAGATAAAACTCGAATCATGCTACCCGTCGTAGAGACCCTCATATTATCCGTCACTGACATAGTAATAAAATTCTAGAATTGCAAACTCAGTTTTACAAAATACATAGAAAAATAAACAATAATGACAAAAATTATGAAGACAATTACCAATTTTAAAATTAATCTTAGAAACTAATCTGACATAGAATAAATAACTAAATTTAAGAGCGAAAGCTCTCCGAAACAGCAGGTTGGTCATCAACGTCCTCATTCGGCTGAAGAGCGTGCGAAGAGGAGAGAGTAAGAGCAGAGAGAGATCCACTGTCATCATCAGCTAATCTCAAAAGCTCATCCATGTGTTCGATGCATCGTATACTCTCACTCCCTTTGCAGCGGACATGGACAAGTCCACGGCGAGTGAATACGGCATTTAAGACCTTGTGCTTTTTTAGTCTCATTGCCTCTTTAAATATTTGGTATTTGTTCGGCTCGAGGGGGGGGGAAATTCAACCAAATATCTCCAGATAGGCACAAAAGTTATTTTAGAATACTCCCGCGCCGCAGTCAACGAAAACCACCGTAGAAATCACCGAAATCGCGAAAGGGAAAATCACCACCAAACGAATGAGAAGTAGTAGGCCGGGGGCGTGGTTATTTTCAATATAATGATCCGCTTTATTGGAGTTCTAATTAGGAATTAAATGTACAAGTTGGAGTGAGGGATTAGGCCCGCCGATCGCCCAGAGTCGAAAGCCTCCGCTGGAAGAGCGAGAGAGCAAGCTGCGCAAGAGCGCAAGCTGAGAGCGAGAGCGCGCTGAGGAGCTTTGCAGAAGCAGGAGCGCTTCGGAGTCGCGCGGGGGGGAAACGAAAGCTCTTGACCTGAACATTCCGCCCCCCTTTCAATCACTATGGGTTGCAATAAAGTCTGCTCCTCCTTACGGCGTGTGACAGGCCCCGGACAGGACCCATCCAAATACGGTGCTTTGGGCCACCGGCAATCCATCCTGCACTTTCAGGAACCCAGGCTGCATAACTTTGGGGTACACATCCGCACCCAGGATGACGGAGATCGTAGCCGGAAGGTAGAACCGTTCATCAGCCAAGGTAATGTCCTTGAAATAGGTCCGCACAGTCTCATCCAACTGTCGGATCGGAGTGCGTACGCGCACGTGAGGCTCCACTTTGAAAACGAGGTCGAGCCGGACATGGGCGTTCGTTTTCGAGCCGACGGTGGCTGAGAAGATCTGTTCAGCACCCACCGCTGTCGTCGCAAGTCGCAAAGAGGTCGCCAGCGACGCGTCAATGCAGCTCATAGGAGTGCATGGGTCGATGAGCGCCGCTGTGTCGAACACTCGCGTCCCGGTGTCAATTCGCACCAGAGCGGTCGGGAGGAGGTTCACGCTGTGTCGCTGAAGCAAAGTGGCCAGTGAAGGCCCTGTCGGAACTCCCTGCGTGGCGAATGCCGCGGTCTGTGGAGAGGCCGAAGAATGCCGAGGAGAGGCCGAAGAGAGTTGAGAGGCCGACGAAGAGCGTTGAGGCGAGGCCGCAGAGCGCCGAGGAGAGGCCGCCGCGTGGTGAAGAGAGGCCGAAACGTGGTGGTGAAAAGCTCGAGCGCGACGAGAGGGCGGCGTCAACTGACGCGAACGGCGTAAATACAGCGGCTGCTCCTGCATATGCAGCAGTGTGTGGTGCTCCCCGCTGCAGATCTTACACCTTACGTCTGCTCTCCATTTCGACGGCGCTACGTAGACGTGGGAACATTGTTTGTAATCTGGAGTAGGATACAAAAAAGAATTAGTATGGAGTCGAAAATATGACTTAGAACTAGCGAAAGAAGCAAACTACGGAGTGAGGATAGGGCTAGTTATTGAGATTCTTCGGGGGTTGCCCCCGGAAGCAATACGACCTTTGCGACAGGGCGCTTAACGATTCCCCGAGCAGTACGAATATTCACTACTCGGACATGACCATCGGGTCCGGGAAACACGGAGTCAATCCTGCCTAGCCGCCACTCATTGGACGGCAGATTATCGTCCTTGATTATAACCATCTCGCCCTCCTCGAGATTTCTTGTGGGGACTTGCCACTTTGTTCGCTTGTGGAGCTCCTTGAGGTACTCTTCCTTCCATCTCAGGCGGAATTGCTGATGAAGGGCCTTAAGGTGCTGCCACCGGTTGATAATAGAAGTGGACGCACCCTTAATTTCGGGTTCGACGGTGGCGAGAAGGGGTCCACCTACGAGACAATGACCTGGCGTGAGTGCCAACAAGTCTGTGGGGTCTTCGCACATCGGGGCGAGTGGACGCGAATTAAGACAGGCCTCAATCTTGGCCAACAATGTAGAAAGTTCTTCGAACGTATACTTTCGAGTGGCTGTGGATTTATAAAACAGCGTCTTGAAGCTTTTAACTCCAGCTTCCCATAATCCTCCCATGTGCGGGGCTCCTGGTGGTATGAATTGCCACCGGAGTTCCTGGTGACTATAAGCATTCGTCACGGATTCCTTGACCGCTTGCAGAAATTCTCGCGACAGCACTGCGGCTGCCCCAACAAAGGTCTTCCCATTGTCTGACTGAACTTGTCGAGGGCACCCTCTTCGCGAGACGAATCGGGCGAAAGCTGCGAGAAATTTCTCTGTTGTGAGGTCAGAAGTAGGCTCTAAATGGATGGCCTTCGTGGAGAAACATACAAACACCAACACATAGCCCTTGGTAATCAGGCAGGCTCTCCCGGTGTAGTTCTTTATATCAAATGGTCCGGCATAATCCATGCCCGTGTACGTAAAAGGCCGCGAAAAAGACGTTCTTTCTTTTGGTAATTCGCCCATGAGTTGGGTCTGCAACTTCTTTTTGTGGATCACACATATTTTGCAGGAGAAAATTACAGACTTGACTAAGTTCTTGACCCTTGGTATCCAGAATTTTGAGCGGATCAGGCGTACCATTAGATGATTACCGCCGTGCAAGGAGATGCGATGCGTAAAGGATACAAGGAGACGCGCCAACTGACAGTTGTATGGAAGAAAGATCGGATGTCGTTCATCATATTGGAGGACTTCGGAGGCCGTCACCCGACCACACGCCCTGATGAGGCCGTGAGGATCAAGGAAGGGATTCATGTTCTTAATAGAACTGGATGCTGGAATTGGCCGCTTTTGGCTCAGGCAGGCATATTCAAGCGCAAAGTATCTGCGCTGTGTTATGAAAATTAGGAGTCGCTCAGCTGTGGAAATCTCTGTATTGGATAGCTGCAGCTCGCCTGGAATAGGTCGTTTTTGCGAGCGCTGGATGAAGCGCTGAACATAGGCGAAAACTCGTAGTGCCTTGTCGAGCTTGGAGAACCGCTCAAGCATGTCCTGCTCCGGGCATGCTAAATGGCAACGTATGGGTCGCTTCTCGATGTCGATGTCGGAAACAGATTCATAAGGTGCAGGCCAGGAGTCTTGTGGCTGAGTTAGCCATGAAGGCCCATGCCACCATAGCTCACTGGTAGCTAACTCTTCAGCCGCTACTCCACGACTGGCTAGATCTGCTGGGTTGTGCTCGGAACGCACGTGAGACCACTGGCAGGCATCAGTATTTTGAGCGATTTTTGTGACTCTGTTTGCGACGAAGGTCGTCCACTGACATGGTGGCTTGTTCAACCATGCCAGCACGATAGTGGAATCAGTCCATAGAAAAGATTCTATACGACCGAAAGAAATCTGAGGCAGAATTGCAGTCCACAAGTCTGCCAGAAGGACGGCTCCACACAGTTCTAGACGCGGGAGCGAAACGGTTTTTACCGGAGCGACTTTGGTCTTTGACGTTAGAAGATTTGCTGAAATGATTCCATCACGCTGGATGCGAACGTAAATCGTTGCGCCATAAGCCTTCTGGGAGGCATCGCAGAAACCATGGATTTGGACTTGTACACCTGGTTGAAAATGTACCCAACGCGGGATGCGAACTTGGTGGAGGAAACTGTAGCTCCGAAGGAAATCATGCCAGCGATGTAGTAGTTCTGCAGGAAGAAACTCATCCCATTCGACGCTGGCTAACCAGATATCCTGCATCAGGATTTTGGCCTGAACCACAAATGGGGAGAGCCACCCAGCTGGGTCGAACAATTTCGCGATTTGGGATAAGACGTCACGTTTCGAATAGTTTGCCTGAATGGTGACCTCTGTTGGGACAAAATAGAACTCATCCGTCGTAGCGTTCCACCGTACTCCCAATGTCTTAGTGGTGCTGACCTCTTCGAGATCAAGAAAATCAGTCGAAAGTAGATGCTCTTTAGGAAGTGCTTTAAGGAGTGCACGTTCATTCGATGTCCACTTGCGGAGAGGGAATCCAGCTGAGTCCAGAGCTGCTTGCAGCTCCCGAATGGCTAAAATAGCTTCAGCCTCTGTATGGGCTCCTGCTAGCACATCGTCGACATACATATAATTTGAGATTATATGCGACGCCCGTGGGTATTGGGCGTTGACATCGTCGGACAATTGTTGCAGTGTTCGTAGGGCCAGGAAAGGGGCACAATTCACTCCAAACGTGACCGTCTGAAGCTCGAAGTCGGATATATCCCCTTGGCCATTTCGAAAGAGAATTCTCTGAAACGGAGTGTGCTCTTGGCTTAGGAGAATTTGCCGATACATCTTGGTGATGTCGGCATTGAAAACGAATTTAAACGTCCGCCACTTCAGGATTTGAAGAGTGAGATCGGACTGCAGTACTGGCCCTGGATACAGAATGTCATTAAGGCTGTTCCCATTGGAAGAAGGACTGGATGCGTTGAAAACTACGCGAACTTTCGTGGTCGCACTCTCGGGCTTAAATACTGCATGATGGGGGAGATAGAAATTTATCTTGTCGGTATTCGGAGGCACCGGCTTCATATGTCCAAGATCGATATATTCTTGGATCACTGAGTCATAAGTATCTTTGAGAGCGGGCTCCTTCTTCAAGCGAGTCTCATTCCTCAGAAACTGTGCGAGTGCGGAACTCCTGGAATGCCCCAAATCAATGTGCTCTGAATCTTTGAAGGGCAGGGATACTATATATTTCCCGTCGCAAGATCTGGTAGTTGTTCGGACAAAAAGTCTTCACACAACTTGTCCGTTTCCTTTACCAGTCTGCATGGAAGGTCCTCCACCTCCCAAAATTTTGTGAGAAGTGTTTCCATGGTTGCTTCGGACTCTATGGATATCTGTGTTGTAAAAGATGAAACCCTGCTAGTGGTTGAAGACACTGGGCCGGTCAAAATCCACCCGAAAATGGTCTCTTGCGCTAATAAGGACCCACATACGTTTGGCCTCAAGCCCGATAGCAGGACAGACGGAAGAATATCCGCACCTAGAAGAAGGTCTATTTGAGACGGCTGGAAAAACGACGGATCTGCCAATGGCATATTTCGGTCAATTGTGCTTGTTGGAAGATTGCCGGCCAGGTTCGGCAGCACAAACGCCGTCGTGTCGATCTTGAGCATAGGTTTGGCCGGAGTGCCCATCTGGAAATGACACATTTTTTGTGAGACACCGGAATTGGCTTGGTTGAGCCCTGTGACTCTTGTTGTTACGGCTTGAAATGGAAGTTTAATCCGGTTGGCAAGCCTCTCAGAAATGAAAGTGCCTTCGGAGCCTGAATCTATCAGGGCACGTGCTGGAAAATTCTCTCCTCGGTGGCACACATGAACTATGGCCGTACCTAGAAGTACTCCTTGTTGGTTGGAGGCGAAATGAACTGAAGTGTTTGAGATTGGCTGCTCTGGAGGGTGAGCCGGCGCTGTGCTAACAGCGTTAGACGGAGTATCTTTGTGCAAGAGCGTATTATGCCGTCCCCTGCATGTGAAGCAACTATGCCTGCTCGGGCATTCACGAAGATTATGTCCCCTTGCAAAGCAATTAAGGCACAGTCTCTTTTGTTTAATGTATGATGCTCTTTGTGGTTGAGTCATCTGCAAAAAACGCGGACAAAGCCGAACTGGATGAGGCTCTCTGGAGCAGAGATCACAAAATCGTGCGCGTGGCCCGACTTGTGTCTCGAAGGTATTTACCCTCCTTGGTTGTGCACTTCTGGGCTCCCTTGAATGCTGTGTGCTGGAAGAATTAGGTCGGACATCCTCAATTGCTTCTAATGTCCGATATCTCTCCTCGAGAAAGGAATTCATTTCTTCCCAGGCTGGGATCGCGGACTTATTGGTCAAGGACTGCTCCCATAACGAGAGAGTGACCTTCGGCAACTTGGAGGAGATTAGAAAAATTAGAAGGCAGTCCCAATTTTCCGTGGAAATTTGTGAATGCTCGAGGGGTATCAAGCACCCTTGGATTGTGCTCTGCAGATCTTTCAAGGCCGTGCCTGATTCACTGCCTAGGGTCGGAAGACTAAACAGGATTTTTAGTTGGCTGTTTACCAACAATCGCTTATTTTCAAAGCGATCCTGAAGCGCTGACCACGCGGATTGGAACCCATCATTAGTCAGCGGAGACTTGGCCACAATGGCGTGAGCTTCGCCGCTAGTTTTGGCGTTTAAGTGGAAAAGCTTTTCCACTGGAGTCAACCTGGAATTGTTTACATAAATGGCCGTAAACAGGTCACGAAAGGTGGGCCAGCGCAGATAATCTCCGTCAAAGATCTCGGTATCGCATGGCGGAAGACTGCAACCCCTGGAGAATGTCTCTGTCGGCGGAGCTGTTTTTGGCGGTGAAGTGGGGACGGACATACGGGCGATGTCTTCATTTAGCTTCGAAGCACATCTTTCGAACACCGCATAGCAGTGCTCATATTTGTTTTGCAGTAACGGAAGATTTCCGCTACCTCCTTCGCGAAGAGCTGCTTTGGAAGCGGTTTCATACTCCCGTTCAACCTTTTCCCATAAGGCTTGTGTCTGATCCAGACGGATCTTTAAGGTAAACAAACTAGGCTCGGAAGGGGATGCCGTAAATATCTGGCTTTCGAATTTGACAAGACGGTCGCTGGTTGCTATGAACTCAAGCAGAATACCGTCTAAAGTGCCCTTGGATTTGGATCTCAAATTACTTGACGGTCCCGCGCCCGTGTTTCTCGGACTCGGGTCCCGCCTTTGACTTCCATCTATTGAAGGCGCTAACTGCGCTGCCTCCTTCTTCTGGCTCGCGTCTTGCGGAATTGGTTCTTGTCCTTCCGACATTTTTTTTTCCTGGATTGGATTGGCAAGAATATGCCGTAGAATTCAAATGTTAGACTTAGTTGTGGTCAATACCGTCAACTAAAATCGCCGAAATAGAAATGTGAGACGGTAAAAACGAAGCGAATATGGATGGCAAGAATATGCCGCAGAACTAGGATGGTAGATGGTAGATGGTAGAATTAATCAATCTCAGAATTAACCAATAAAATTCAAATCGTAGAATTATTTGCTCCCAATACTAAATCGCCGAAGTAGAAATGTGAGACGGTCAAAACGAAGCGAATATGGATGGCAGGAATATGCCGTAGGACTCGGATGGTAGATGATGGATGGTGGAATTAACCAATCTCAGAATTACAAGTAAATAAACTGGAAAAAATTTACTTGACGTAGAAGCGACGATAATCGAAAATATGTGTAGAGGAGCCAATATCAATTGGAGCAAATGCGACGAGAATGGAAAATTTATTTGTAGTGGAGCCAATATTAATTGGAGCAAATGCGACGAGAATGGAAATTTATTTATATTTATAAATAATTGCGGAATGGAATTGCCGAGTTGTTTATTATTTTCGTACTTAATAATAACCCAATAAATGCAAAGAAAATATATATGGAGTACCCTTGACAATTGCGGATATTTATCGCGTGCAAACTTTAAAAAGTATTAAATGATCAATTAATTCGTTAATTATTAACAAAAATTATTAATTGTATGGAAAAAAGTAATTCGATCGGAATGGTGGGAACGGAACACCTGACACTTTTTTTCTCTCAACTCAATGTTCGTTGCAAAGAATGTAAAGCTCTTGGTTATGTATGTATGTATGTATATACCGCACCAATAAAATGCAGAAAAAAGACGGACACTGGCTTATAAAATTTTGTTTTAATATTTTATTCTTTATTTATTATGTTTTATTTTCTTGGTTTAAAAAAAAAAAAAAAAAAATGTTGTATTAAAATGTGTGTGGATGGGGAAAAATATAATATGGAATAATATATGTTTGACCTGGAGAAAATATAATATGGAATAATATAATAATATATGTGTATATATGGATGTGGATGTTAGCAGCGGACTGTATTCTTTATTATTTGTAATTTTTTTTATTATCGGAATCTTAATAATTTTTTCTTTTTATATTGTGTGAAATAAAATCAATGTCTTTATGTAGACAGATGTATGGACATATGTATGTATGAATTTTAATTTTGTGTCGGAACCGTTTTGTACATTGATGTACGGATAAATGCCAATATGTAGAGGAAAGCGGACGAAAAAGAATATGGCGACGTTTAAAACGGAGACGGATTGAAAAAATTTGCCAATTTTATGAAATGGAAAATAGGAAATGGAAAATTAATCTACTGCCGTTGTCAGGAAAACTCGCTCTTGGAGTCGACGAGAATTAATCTTGCAGCAGAGTGACCGAAATTAATGTTCGGACTACTGCTGAAGACCGGCAGTGAGGGGGCGACGGAATAATTCGTACTTATCTTGGAAAAATATGAAACGCCGAGAACTGCTGGTGTGGAAGGAACCAAAAAATCCGGAATCCAAAAATCCAAAATCCAAGAAAATCCGAAAATCCAAGAAAATCCACAAATCCGGCTCTGTAGGACCAAATGTTCGGCTCGAGGGGGGGGAAATTCAACCAAATATCTCCAGATAGGCACAAAAGTTATTTTAGAATACTCCCGCGCCGCAGTCAACGAAAACCACCGTAGAAATCACCGAAATCGCGAAAGGGAAAATCACCACCAAACGAATGAGAAGTAGTAGGCCGGGGGCGTGGTTATTTTCAATATAATGATCCGCTTTATTGGAGTTCTAATTAGGAATTAAATGTACAAGTTGGAGTGAGAGATTAGACCCGCCGATCGCCCAGAGTCGAAAGCCTCCGCTGGAAGAGCGAGAGAGCAAGCTGCGCAAGAGCGCAAGCTGAGAGCGAGAGCGCGCTGAGGAGCTTTGCAGAAGCAGGAGCGCTTCGGAGTCGCGCGGGGGGGAAACGAAAGCTCTTGACCTGAACAGTATTGTTCTCTCTGAAGTTGCTCATTTATGTAAATTGGCGCATCAGAATCAATACCCACAAACTTTAAGCTTAGTTGTGATTTTGATTCACGCCGATAAGCTGCCGTTGATCGTAGCAGCATGACTTTCTCACGCGCGTTTTCCATTTTTATAATGATGACCGGGTCCACCTTACTTTTCTGCGACTTACGAGCCCGGAAAATGTCCCAAACTCGTGGCGGAGGAGTGATGTGAAGTGAGAAGCTTAGAGTGTTAAATAAAGTGCGTAAGTTCTCGCCTTCTGAGTGGGGCACGCCATGCATGCGTAAATCAAACGCATTGTTGGCTAAATTTTGTGCAGCCAGCTTAGCCTCTACAGTGCCCACTCTCTCTCTCATTGCACGCATATCCGCGACCTCCCGGTGCAAGTGTTCTACACGCGTTCCGTTGGTAGCTTGTTTTAGTTTCGGAATAGTATCTATGTCCTTTCTAGCCAGCGACATATACATTCTGTCCGGTAGCTTTCTATCGATTGTTGTTCTGATGGTAGTCTTTAACATTTCTGAATAATTTGACTTAACAACAGGGTCACTTTCCAATTCTAACTTATCAAATATATTCCTAACTTGAGCTTCTAATCGTTCAATAAACTTACTGATGCTACCTGGGTAGGTAGTTTCTTCTAGCTGTTTCACCAATGTCACATATGGTCGATGGTCCGTGAAGAATACTGCTAGGGCTGTCCTCATCTCTGTCCATGACGTTGCTCCTGCTTGAATCACTGCTTCTAGAGCGTCGTCGACAATAACTCTTCGCTTACTTAGATTGGTTGCTTGCAGATTTTTATTTCTGACCACACGTGATTTTTTCAGTTTTCACAGAATTAAGGGGTTATATACCTTTTTGAGCGAAAAAATTGAGGGAACTTTCGATTTTTTTTCAGGTGTGTAGCAATTATTTTATGTCACTGAAGTTATTATTTATTGATAGTACATATTTTTATCGAAACAACAAGCGTTTGTTCTTAAAAAAATATAAATAATTTACGAAGTTATGGCAATTCTCTCGGAAGCTTTTTTTTATAGCGGCTTGCGGTGACCACGATGGAAGTCCAGCAGGTCAAGTGAAATAAAAAATTCAAAAAATTTTTATTAGTATAGTATTATTTCCAGTTCGTGAACGATTATTTTCAAGAATATTTGGTTTTTTCTGCATACAGTAACGATTTTCCAAATAGTTGATTTTTCGAGTTCTAAAAATTTTATTAAAAAATTCTGATCTGCAAAATCAAAATTGGCGCATAGAAACTGAATCGTTCACGAACTCGGCACAATCAGTACGA